GGATATTTTGGTTGAAAAGATCCAAAAGACCATGAACACTGAGAGGAAGGAAGCTGGCATGGCAGGTTTGGATACTGAAAGTGAGAAAGTGCAATTACTTGGAAGACTTTGTAAGTTTAATGCTATAATAAAGAAGAATTTTGAACGGTTTTCTGTGTCAAACTGATGTAACCTTGAGTAAAACCAAAAATCTTCCATGCAGCTGCCTCCTGATTCTGAATAAACCTAACATCTTATTTTCAATCGTCTCTTACAAGCATGTTTCTTTTCATAATTAAAATAAGGCTCACTGGTTAAACTAAGCTCTTCTGTAGATAACAGGAGTGTGTTTGGTTTCTTGTAGGTGGAATTGTAGAAGAGATTATAGAGGCTCTTAGCTAGGTTTATGAAATCGTAAGCGGTCTTATTTGACTTGTAGAATGCAGTGATAAGGAGTGTGTTTCATATGGTTTCTTTGAAGGCCATTTTTAGCGATAAGCGCACTGCTCATTCTTGAAAAAAATCGTTTCTTCACCTCACAGCTGGGAGCAGGTTTAGAGCATACGTCAGGATTTCAGGCACGACCTGAGCCACGGAGATTGCCAGTCCATTGTTGTGGGAAGATCAAGAAGAGGACTCGAGAGAGGTGGTTATGTGGTTGTGTTATTTCACAGGTTGTGGGCGGGTTTCACAGTGTATTTGGTGAACGTGCAGGATAGGATCTATTCTTTTCGCGGTAGGCATTTATAACTACTAGAGCTGATCTACACTTAGCGTGAGGACCATTTTAACGCATGACCTTTCGTATGAGTCTATGTAGTTTGGTAAAAATTTAAACGGGACGATTACTTTACTTCTGTGAATTTCGTCCATCAATGTCCCACACTCAGTTACTGCTTTTTTACTTCCATCGCTCCAGCGCGTTCTCTCTTTTTCTCGTGCTGCGCCACACCGACCCCTCAGTTTGTGTTTTATTGCAATATGTGTAATATCATTTATCCAATGGACCGCACCATTAATAGATCAGCGGTATTGTCATTTCTTCTTGTGGCTTTCTCCCACTTCAGTTGCGTCTTTCTCTCAGGGCCTGAGTGTGAGGCGGTCTAGGATTGGTTCGGACACGTTGAGGGTGTATATTTGGGCTGCTCCCACTCGAACGGTGACGCAGATTTCTTGGTAGTGCCGCAACTCAAGCATATATTCGTCATAAAGGACAGCTCCCCTGACAGAAGATAGTCTTCAAGTGGCAGCCTGGCAGCAAGGCAACTTGGTACAGGAGTACTACCTGTTACAAACAGTATTAAGGTGCTAGTTAGAGTGGATTGGGCTTTGGTGTTGACTTTATATCGAGCTATATTTAGGAAGCTGGTTGTCAAAAGCATCTTGTTGCAATTTGGGGCCAAATACGCCTTCTGCTCACCAATTTAGGGTTAGTGAGGATCACAAACTATTCACTACTGGCACAAATGTTCATTGGAAATATATCTTTCTTGCTTTTCTAAGGGTTGGGAGTGAGGCTGAGGTGCGGTTAGTCGCCTGACGCTCACCACTCTTTATTTTTAGAGTCTAGACAAGTTGTACTTAGGGAATCATAGAAGCGTAATGGAAGACTAAGGGCTTCAAATCTATGATTGTGTTTTATTTTTACAAGATTTAGATACGGGAGGATATAGAACTATTTCTTAAAACGAAAGAAACAGTGGAAGCAGGTTACAAGGCATTAATTGCTTGTTCTCACTACTGTCTGAGGCGATTGTGCTTAGAGATACTATTAGTTCACATTTCATCTTGGGAGAATGTCGGTTTGTGAAACCACACCCGTTGGTTTCCTAAATTATGAGATTTAAAACGATATGTAGTGAAATGCTTGGACAAAGAAAACAAAAAAAGGAAAAGGCTATGAATAAGATAGGAAATAAATATGAAAAATTAAAAAGGGTAAATTTAACTAGGAAGGAATAAAATATAAATTAAGGTTAAAAATGAAATAACTGTACAACACAAATTAGAATGAAGGGTAAATTTAACTGGGAAAGAATAAGATAAAATATATAAATTAAAGTTGAAAATAAAATAACTGTACAACAAAATACACAATATAGAACTATATAAGAATGTATGAATAAATATAAATAAATATATACACAATAACAGCAGCTGTTAAGTGATGAAGTGAAAACAATGTCCAGAAAGTCCAGTGTGTGTGTAAGAACTGTATGTGTGGGTCAGTACTGTGTGGTGGTGTGATTGAGAGACCGTATCGCCTGCGGGAAGAAGCTCCTCCTCAGTCTCTCTGTGTTGGTCTTCAGGGAGCGGAATCGCTTTCCTGACCTCAACAGAGAGAACAGTCTGTTGTTGGGATGGCTGAGGTCCTTCACCATCTTCCTGGCCTTGGTCCAGCACCGCCTGCTGTAGATTGAGTGCAGGTCAGGGAGCTCGGAGCGGATGGTGCGCTCAGCTGACCGCACAACCCTCTGTAGAGCTCGTCTGTCCTGCATGGTGCTGTTCCCGAACCAGGTTAAGATGTTTCCCGTCAGGATGCTCTCTATGGTGCACGAGTAAAAGTTCCTGAGCACCTTGGAGGGCAGTTGGAAGTCTCTCAAGCGTCTGAGGTGGTAGAGACGCTGACGGGCCTTTTTCACCACGGTGTTGATGTGACAGGACCATGACAGGTCCTGCGTGATGTGAACTCCGAGGTATTTGAAGCTGTCCACTCTCTCCACTGGGCACTCGTTGATGACAGGGGTCTGGTAGTTCCTCTCAGCCTGTTCCTGACGCCGGCTCGCTTCCCTCTAGGCCGCCGCCGCTTCCCTTTGTTCTCCCTCAAGATCTCACTCGGCCAGCTCGGACCCGGAGTTAAAAACTTCGAATTGTGAGTACATTGTAAACCAATAGAAACAAGAGTGTCACTGTCATACCTAATGTACCCAATGGTGATGATTTTGCCGATTTAGAAACGCTGAAAACTAACTTAAAACTAACTTAAAAAACAAAGACAAAGAAAAAGTGGTCGGAGCAGTCGTGACGGCAGCCGACCTCACCGGCGCCATCTTCATTTGTAGTTGTCTTGTAGTCTGTAATAGCCTGGATGCCTTGCCATAGGCTTCTTGCGTCCTTGCTATCATTGAAGTGGGAGGTTATCTTGTGTGTGTAGTCCTGTTTCGCTTTCCTGATGCCACGTGACAGGTTGGCTCTCGCTGTTCTCAGGCCTATTTCATCCCCAGCTCTGAAGGCCTTGTCTCTGGCCTTCAGCAGCCTGTGGAGGTCTCCTGTTAGCCATGGCTTCCGGTTGGCTCGAGTTGTGATACTTTTCACTTGTGTTACATCATCAATGCATTTGGTGATGTATGAGCTCACCGTGTCTGTGTACTCCTCAATGTCTATGATGTTATTGTAGGTGGCTGCTTCCTTGAATATGTCCCAATCAGTTGACCCAAAGCAGTCTTGAAGAGCAGAGGTGGCCTCCTGTGGCCACACTCTTACCTCTTTCATAACAAGTTTGATGACCTTCACTCTCTGTCTGTATGCTGGCATTAGCATAACAGTGAGGTGATCAGAGGTGCCGATGTGGGGGAGGGGGATGGCTTTGTATGCTCCTTTTTCCTGTGTGTAGACCAAGTCCAATATGTTGTCTCCCCTTGTTGGAAAATGTACATGCTGATGAAACTTTGGGAGAACAGTTTTAAGATCAGCATGATTAAAGTCTCCTGCGAGGATGATGAAACCGTCTGGGTGTGCTGTTTGTTGCTCACTGATGGCCTGATACAGTTCGTTCAGCGCCGCATTTCTATCGCTGTTGTTGCTAGATGGAGTAGCGACTAACAAGATCGAACTTACCTCCCTGGGCAAATAGAAAGGGCGACACTTCACGATCATGAACTCCGCCAGTGATGAGCAGTGTTTGCGTACTACAGTGGCATCACGACACCACTCGTCACGGATGTAAACACAGACCCCGCCACCTCGGGTCTTGCCTCCGTCTACGAGAGCCCTGTCGGCTCTGTAGCATGCTAGCTGCTCCAGTTGTATGGCCGAGTCCGGAATGTTGTCATTGAGCCATGTCTCGGTGAAAACTAGCACACAACAGTCACTTACTTTGCGATTCGCTGATCTCAGAAGTCGTATGTTGTCCATTTTATTGTCCAGAGATCGTACGTTGGCTAAGAGGATCGATGGTATGGCTGGGCGAGTTGGCTTAGCCTCAAGCCTGACTCGGACACCTCCGCGCGTTTCTGATCACTGCAGACTTTCGCTACTCTACATCTACTTTAGACGTGTCCTTGATCCATCACAGATGACTTAAATGGATAAATTACCTCCTCAACATGTCCTGAAGTTCTCCAGAGGCCTGGTAATGAACTAATCATGTGATTCAGGTGTGCTGACCCAGGGTGAGATCTAAAACCTGCAGGACACCGGCCCTCGTGGACTGGGATTGGGGACCCCTGCTTTAGTTTGCATAGGTTTGGGAGATGAGAGTGTGTCTTTAATGAGAGGGACTCATTTTCCCCAAGCACTAAACTTTCTGCCATCTGCTTAAAACAACTTTTTAGAAGTCCTCGCCACTCATAGCAGTGCTTTGCCTCAGAAGCTCTATGTTAAGACGCCGTGTGGGCACAGTTTATGAAATTCTAATCATTTTCAGTTTTATACAAACTGCAGTAAATAGAAAAGCCCATATTAGGTGTGAGCAACGGTTTAAAAAAACAAGAGCCATTTGTACCTAGTTGTTGTTCTTTTCATTGTTTTTTTGTTTGTTTTTTTTACATTAATCTTCCTCCAGGAGAATGAGAAGCTGTATTTACAGATGAAGGCTCAGCAGGCCAAGAGTAAAGCTAATGAGGAGGCCATGTTTAAAGAAAACCAGCGGCTGCTGAATGAGCTGGCTGCCACCAGGTGAGCGTCTGACAGACCTGTACGTCCCACACACATGTTGTTGTACCCATAAATGTGTGTTTATGTGCACTGTGAAAGACTGACCACTTGGAACACTGCGAGTCATACACATGTTCATGCATCGCTTCATTCTGTGCATTTAAGCACCTAACAGTGAAGCTAACAGTGAAGCTAACAGTGAAGCTAACAGCGCGTGTTTGGGCTATGGAAGGTATTCAACACATAGGCCAAACCGGAGAGTCACTCGTGTTCAGGGACAGCAGCGCTAACTTTATTCAAAGTTTGTGAAGTAGGTCGTTAACAAATAGAGATCATAAAGTCCTCCAGATGTGGAGTGGTTGTTCTGTGGTTAGGGTAAATCTTTTCTAACCTCACCAGGGAGCAGCTGCATAAAACTTCGAGGCCAGTGGGAAGTATATGCTTAACGGATCATACTCCACGCATTGCAGACTTGTTAGCGCAAATAAACTCACTTCAGGTTAGTACCGCTCTCATCCACCTGTACTGTAAGGCTTGAAGGGCTATGTTAGCCTCTTTGATGTAGCACAGATGTGAATCTTTGTGCAGAGAAATGAGGCCAAGATGTCTGCGGACGTCCACAAGCTTAAGCAGGAAAAGCAGGCTCTGGAGGTGGACTTGCAGCTCATTAACAAAGAGAGAGACCTGGCTGAAGCCCGAGCCACCTCCACATCGGGTAAGATAAAGAACAGTCCTGAAACTACAATATTCATATTTTTCATCCCCTTTTCACTTCATACACAAACCCAATTCCAAAATGCTATAATAGGATAATGACAAGCCCAAGTTTGGAGCTTCGTTTTGCCTTCAAAACATGTAGAAATATGCAAAACTCTGCCAGTTTAAAAATGTGCCACCTTAGCAGAAACCCATAAATCAAAGTGGCAGCTTCAAATGTTGTGTTTGACCAAAGAGACTCACTTTAATGTTGTGTGACAAAGAAAAGCATCAAATGCTGTCAGGATTACTGCAACACTGAAAAGATGTGTAACCAGCTGCTACTGGTGATTTGTTCATAAAACCCCAAAAAGTATCAAACTGACAAATATGTCATTAAATGTATGATTCAAAGTGAAGTTGTCACCAGATGTGGGTAACATCTAATCCACACACAATGTTCATGAATTCAGTGTAATAGTGACACAGAGGAAAGTACTGAACGTGCTGACTGATGTTTACTTAACTGTTCGCACAAAAAGCCGTTGTTGGAGGCGACGGCTTCACGACGTCTCCTGTGTGGAGAAAGTATTCCCAGGTGTGCTCGGGCGGGATTTTGGCCCAAACTTCCACGCAAACAGTCTTCAAAACTTGAAAGTGCTGCGCGGGCCCTTTCTATGACCTCTGACCTTTAGTTCTTTCCACTGACTTTAACCTGGATATAGGTCAGGTGACTGGCTGGGCGAGACACTTTCTTTCTTTCTCTGAAGCCAGTCAGTAGTTTCCTTTCTGTACATCTACTGTCATTTCTTCGTCTCGGCACATTTTTCCCTTCATCCTGAAGTGTGCCAGTGTCACATGCTGAAACACCCAGGCCTTGGTGGTGCATACCTGTTGGCATGGTGTTTAATATGCATGCAACGAGTGGAACTATGGTCTCATCTGACCAGACTATGTTCGCCCAGTATTTCAAAGGCTTGTTTGATTGTTTTTCAGCAAAATTTAAATGTTTCATTTTGCTTTTTCTTCAGTAATGAACAGTATTGTGCATACAGGCCATGTTTTTGAAACAACTGCAGGATTCCTGGTCTTTCTGTAGCTCTCCACAAGTGGCCCCTGGCTCTGCGATAATTCTGTTCACTGCTCTGTGGGGAGAACCGGCCATGACCGGGCGCTGGCCACTGGAACCTTCAGGATTTTAGAAATTCTTCTGTAACCAATCAGGATGTTTTACAACAATAGGACTGTGACGGTCTTGAGCTAGATTATTTGTTTTTACCCATCATGAGATGTTTCTTGATGGTCCCATCTGGCCTATAAAAAGGCAGGATTGCTTTCCAAGTACTTGTCTGTGTCACTCCTCATTCTTACACACAACTTAATCTGTGGACATTCATGTTTGATTTCTTGTAATGTGGGAATTAAGCTGGTGAAGCTTTCATGTCAGTAGCACCTTTAGAAATATATTTACTTAGAAAACTGGTGACATGTTCAATACTTATTGTACCTGCTGTGTATATGTGAGTAAGAACTGAGTGCGTTTCTCCTGAACGTGTTAGGAAATCAGACCTTTGAGATGCGTGTATTAGAGGACAGGCACCAGGAGGAAGTGACAGCCCTTAAGAAAAAACTGCAGTGGTTTGCTGAGAAGCAGGAGATGCTGGACAGAGATGCTGGCAGGCTGAAGGCTGCTACAGCTGAGATACACCAGCTCAGAGAACAGGTGATGCTCCGCTCTCACACGATGGTTACAGACTGATTTGTTTTGTACTCTCAATCTGCATGAATCCTCTGTCTGTGCTAACTACTTTTTATTTTAAATGATACTTGCAAAGAAAAGCGTCTGGACTTTGAGTTGCTTGAAGACGTTTCACCTCTCATCCGAGAAGCTTCTTCAGTTCTAAGGTCAAATGGTGGAGAGTCCCAGATATAAA